GGCGTCCTCGTCCTTGCGGCGTACGGGCCACTGCCGGCGCGTGGCGTCGTTGCCCGCCGGCAATTCTGGGACGCGCGGCTGCTGGAGTGGCGGCGGCTTGCACTCCAGCCCCGGTATCAAGGTTGGCGCCTGGTGATCCTGGGCGACGCCAACCTACACTTCGCGGAGATGGCCCCGGGGAACGCGCGGTACGAGGGCCCACTGGAACGCCACGTCCGGGAGCTCTTGCGGGCGGCGGAGGGCTTTGACGCGGTGATCCGCAACCCGCGGGCCACGCCCACGCATGTCTCGGGCACTGCGGTAGACTGGGTCGCCACGTCGCAGGACTTGCCGGCGGCGGTGGAGGTCATCTCGCCGGGTGCGCCGGGCGCCCCCGCGGACCACGCCCTTCTGCTCGCCCGCCTGCCAGGCGAAGTTCGGGTGGACGAGGCGCCGCGCGTCGGCCGGGCAAGGTGGCGAGCTGGTGCGGACTGGACGAAAGCGCTCGCCGGGGCCGCGGCGTCGCTGGCCTTCATTGCTGGCTGGGCGGCGGTTGCGTCCCGACACCCCGCCATTCGCGCCTGGCTCGCGGCGGGCCAGTGGCGGGCCGCGCGGCAGGCAGTACTGGACCACGCGGTTTGGTGGCGGGCCGCGGTCATCGCCATCAGGGGGCACCTGGACGGGCTCGTGGCGGTGCGTTGGCCGAAGCGGCTGAGCGGGCCGGGCAAGGCCCCCGAAGGGCCCTCCCCCGGCCCTGCCGAGCACCCCGCCGGGGGCGCCGCCGCCAGGACAGCCGGCGCACTAGCGGGCGCCCGGGACAGGCAGATGCGCCACTACACGCGGCTGGCGGCTGAGGAGCCCGACGCGGCGGAAGCTTACCTTAGTTCTCTACTCCGCCCGCGCGCGCCGCTGACCCTTGCTCTGGTCGACGCGGCCTCGGGCGCCCGGCTGGGCCCGGCAGCCACCCTGGAGGCAGTATCGCGCAACGTCCTCGAGCGAGGCAGAGCCGCGGGGCCCGGGGTACCAGCCCTGAACGACGAGGTCGCTGGCGCGGTGCGAGCGGCGCGGCGCGCCTCGCTCAGCGAGACCGCCGAGGAGCGTGGGGACGCCTTAGAGCCGGCGTTGGTGGACCGGGTGGTACGGCACGCGCACCCGCGGAAGACGTCGATGCGCTTCCCCCGGAGCGTGGCTCGGGCGGCCACCGGCCCGGCGGGCCTGGTCGTGTGGGCGCTGCTGAATTTGGCAATGGCCACGGGCCTCACTGCCACGCTGTGGGCGCGCGAGGTGGCCCCGGTCCGGAAGCGCGGCCCCACCGTGGTCACGTCCTTGGGCGACCTCAGGCCCGTGTCCCACGTGGATGACCTCGAGGGGTTCTTCGACGCCGCGTGGCTGGAGGTTGTCCGCGGCCGCTTGGAAAACTTCGCTGGGGCCCCCCAGGCGGGGGGGCGCTTCGACGCGGTCCTCATGGCGGGGGGGCTGCTGATGATGCTGCAGCTCCGGCGGGCGGCCGGCCTACGGACATTGCTGGCCAAGGCAGACCTCCTGCACGGGTTCGACTTGGCGTGGCGCGACGCCGTGCGCCTTGGCCTTTGGCTCGCGGGCGTGAGGGGGCGGTGGTGGGTAGCGGCTGATTCCTCGCTGGGGCCGGAGCAGGTTCGGGTCCGCCTGGGTGCCTTGGCGGCAGCGGCGATAACGGTGACGGAGTTTGGCGTCGGCCAAGGACGTCGGGCCGGCATCCACCTCTTCGGCGTCCTCGTGAGGGGCCTCATTGACGCGGGCGTCGGGGCCGGGCCAGGCGTGGCGCTTGGGCCGCCGGGTACCCCGGCGGGCGCGTTGTCGTTCTCCATGCTCCAGTTCGTCGACGATTCCTTCGTGGCCAGGGGGGGGGAGCCTGAGGTGGCGGCCGTGGCGGAGGCCCTCTCAGCCTGGTGCTTGCGCTGGCGTCACAAGTTCCAAGGCGGGACAAGCAAGGGGCCAGCGCTCATGGCGGTGGCCGGGGCGGAGCCCGACGCCGCCGCGTGCGGGGCCATCGTGGGGGAGGGGTTCCGGGCGGGGACCTCGCTGGACGTTTTAGGCGTGCCCATCGACGCCGAACTCAGCCTCCGCCCCCTCCTGGACCGGACGTGCGCCAAGCTGCTGGCAGGCGCTCGCCGCTTGGTCTCGGCCATGGCGGACAGCGGGTTCGGGGCCCCGATGCAGCATTCGCAAACCCCCGCCAGGGTGGAGTCGGCGGCCCTGTTCGGGGCCGAGCTCCTCGCGTCCGGCGGGGCGGGCTGGGCTGTGGTCATCAACAGAGTGAACAGGGCCTACTACGAGGTGGCTAAGATCTTCTTGGCGGGCGCCACGCGGCATTGGTCGCTAGGCCCAGGGGGGTACGTCCGCGCATTCTTGGAGGCGCGCCTCCTCACGCGGCTGGGCACCAAGCTGACCAAGCGGGTCATCAGGGCCAGGGCCCGGATGATCCTCCTCCCCCGCCCGTCGCCCATCTCGCAGGTGCTGGAGGCGGCGGAGCTGACCCCGGGCGTGCGCACCTGGCTGAGCGACGCGGAGGAGGTGGCGCGCAGCGTGGGGGTCACCGAGTGGCCGGCCCCGGAACCCTGCGCTTCCCCCGCCCGGCGGCGGGCGCTGGTGCGTTCCTGGGCTACGCAAGTGGTGGACCCCCTCGGGAGGCGGCGGAGGCAGGCTGGTTCGCAGAGCAGGTCGGGCGGCTGGCGGACACGGGGCTGCTGCCCTTGGACGCGCTCCTCCCGCTGCGCCAGCCGTGGGCGCCCGAGGTCCGCTGGGCGCCGTGGTCCCCCGCCATGTGGAGGTACCACAGGGCGTGGATGGTGGCGCGCTTGTCGGGGGCCATCCCGGGGGTCGTCTGGGGCGCGGAGGTGCAGGCGGCGCCGGGCGAGGCGTGCGCCCTCTGCGGCGGCGCCGTGGCGTGCCTCCACCACCTGGTCGCGGAGTGCCCCGCCTTGGACGCACCCCGCGGCGCTTTGCGGGCGCGCGTGGGCGAGTGCGCCCTTGCCTGCGGCTTCTTCGAGTGGGTCCTCACGGACACCGCGGTCGTGGCCGAGCTCGCGCGGAAGGTGGAGTTCGTGGGGCGGGCGGCGGGCGCCCATGTACGCGCGCGAGGAAGATGAAAAGGAGCGCCCTTCTCCCCCTCCCCCTCCTCCCGCCCCCCGCCGCGGGCCCCGGCGCCGAGGGCCAGCATGCAGTCGCTGCCGCACTGCTGGGGGGAGGACCCCCTCGCCCGATCGGCCGGCAGTGGCCAGGCCGACACGCAGCGAGGGGAGTTTCAGCCAACTCGCGGCCCGCCTTGGCTGGATCTCGGGGCGGGCGGGGGGGGGGGGCGTGGGTGGGGGGCCCACCGCCGCCGAGTTTTTTACAGCCAACTTGGGTCGCGACTTGGCTGAAACCCCCGGGGCGCTCGCTGCCCACACCCCCCCCCGCGGGCGGCCCCGCGTGTCGCCCCCTGCCCCTTCTGCCTCCGCCCTCCCCCTCCTTTCCCCCCCCGCTGGTTCCCCCCCTCCCCCTCCCCCTTGCCCCCCCCTCTTTGGGGGGCCGCGGCGGCGCGCGCGGCTGCCGGACTGCGGCCCCGTCAGCCGCCGGCCCGCGAGTGAGCCGGAGGGGGAGGACAGGCAGGACCGGGCCCACCCGCTCTCCAACCCCCAGGGGGATGCTGTCGTGTCTACGCTGGCCGCCCAGCACGGACGCCACAACATTCCCCGACGCCCTGGCGATGCGGCCCCATAGGCCTGTCGGGCACGGCGGAGCATCGCGGGGCGGGCCCCCCAGCCATCCCCCACGTGGGGTTGGTCTGCCCCTCGACTACACTAACGGTCAAACTAACGGTCCCTCCCTCCTCCATCCTCCCTCCTCCCTCCTGCCTCGCGCCCGCCAGCCCCGTTCGGGCGTTGCCAGAAGTGCCCCAGGCCCAAGGTGATGGGCCTGTTTTCCACCACCACCACCAAAAGTTGGGGGGGGGAGGAAGTGAAGGACGAGGAGGAGGACGAGGGGGAGGAAGAGGAGGAGGAGGAGGACCCCTCCCACTCCAACTTATGGTGGTGGTGGTGGTGGTGGTGGTGGTGGTGGTGGTGGTGGTGGTGGTGGTGGTGGAAAACAAGCCCATCACAAGGTGCCCGCAGCTTCTCGCTCCAGTGTGGAGCCCCTAGGCCCAGGGCATTGGTGAAGGGTGCTCTGGAGGCCGCGGGTGGGCTCCTTGGAAGTCCTGGGGGCACCTTCCCTCCTCCTCCTCCTCCTCTTCCTCCTCCTCCTCCTCCCTCTTCCTCCTCCTCCTCCTCCTCCTCCTCTCCTCCTCTCCCCTCCTCCTCCTCCTCCTCCTCTCCTCCTCCTCCTCCTCTCCTCCTCCTCCTCCTCCTGCTCCTCCTCCTCAACCTCCTCCTCCTCCTCCTCCCCCTCTTCCTCCTCCTCCTCCTTCTCCTCCTCCTCCTCCGGGCACCTTGGGCCAGGGGCACGCCTGGCAACACCCGACCCGTTGAGGATGGGTGCCCCCCATCAAGGAGGGGTGCCTCCAGCTTGGCTTCATGTTGTTTGTCCGGTAGAGAGTCCCACACAGTCGGGGAGTTGGGTCGCCACGCCTCTCGCTGCTTGCAGGGGCGAGGGCCGATATCTCCCGAAGTGTTCGCTTCGGTCTCGCTGGAAGGTCTCGCCTCAGTTTTCGTTTCGGTTTCCCGAAATTTTCGCTTCCTTCGGTTTTCGTTTCGGTCTCGCTTTGTTTTCGGTTTGTGGGGGCGGACATCAGTCTCCAGGGACTGCCAAGAGAGCTACTTGGGATGAAGAGCTGGGGCTCAGGAAAAGGGGCACTGTATGCCGAGTGGGGGTGGAGCAGGTTTTCGATCATTTTCGTTGGCGCCTGGAGGTTTTCTCGCCCGACCCCCCACGGCGTGATTTTGCACAGGGTGGACCCCCGGAGATTCTGACCCTTTCCCCGCGTCGGGGTCTGGGCAAGCAAGATTGCCTGAGTCGAATCAAGAAGACCATCTCCAGCCCTCTGTCGCTCCTCTGTCCGCCAGGAGGCCCACGTGCGCTCCTGGCTCGCCCGGGACGCGGGCCTCGGGGAGGACGTCGTGGAGCGGATGCCCCTGCGGCTGGCCTGGTACAGGGCGCGGTACGCGCCCGAGATGGGGAGCCTGGGGCCGCCATGATCCAGGCTTCCCAGATGGGGTCCGAGCAGAGGGGAGTCGGAGGATCGCGCCGACTGCGCCGATGCGTAGGCGATGCGGCTCAATGTGGAGCCCGAATGTTCTTCACGCCGACTGCGCCGATGCGGCGCCGGCGTCGCGGGTGTGTCGGAGATGCATCGCCGACGTGTCGGAGATGCACTTGCGATGCGGCGTAACCCTCCGACCCCCCTCTACTCGGACCCCATGTGGGAGAGTCTGCGTGAGTCGGTTGCACGGACGAGTGGCCCCCTCGCGGCAGTGACGTTACCCAGACCTTTTCGTCTCGTGGCGCGAGAAGCACATAAGGATGTGTTGTGTTGCTGTTTTCAGCCTCCGAGGGCCCTCGCTGGGTCTCCGGACTGTCAAAACACGACTCAGGATGAACAGCTGGTGCAGGGAAATGGTTGGAGACCTAAGAGGTCGCCGTTGCGACAAACATAATGACGTCGGAGGGGTTCTGGAGTGCGTCGATGATCTTAAGGACGTGTGGTGTAGCCCAATGTTTGCTTACCGCGTTCGACCCTTTCGATAGCACGCAGCTGGATTCGGCCCTCATTGCACCAAATGTGTCGTATTGAAGGGTTTCGGTGGACACACGTTGGCGCTAACACGCGTTCTGAGGATCATCGAGGGCGGCCCTCTCGCCGAAGTGACCCCTGGTGCGCGGCTAGACGGCTTCGGATTTTTGTGTCGGTTACGGCGGTTTCTGGAAGTTTCTGGAAGTTTCAAGCAGCTGCGCCTTGGTGCCCGAATCGTCCCGAAAGGCTGCGGGAGACCAGATTATGCCAAGAAGCACCCAGTTTACCTCCAGGGTGCCCTTGGTTTCTTGGGTGTCGATTGTTTTGCTATGGAAAGCTTGACGTTCCAACACCAGGAATCAGTGGGCGTCCTGGGGTCTCAGGATTGGGTTTCTTGTGGGAGGTCTCTTGTGGTCGAGCTCCTACTGTATATTCCGAAAGCCCAGTAACCTTTTGCTGGAGTGACCCCGCGTGGCTTTCGGGGGGCGCGCGGGGGAAGGACGGGGGGGCGGGTGGGAGGGGGGCAAGCCCAAGCGTGCAGGCCGCTGCTGTCGCATCGCATGCAACGATCGGCAAGCCGCGCGTCAAAGGCCACCCGTGCTCGGGGCCACTCTCTGCGCTCCGCCGGCTGGAGGAGGCTGCTCCCGAGGAGGAGGGGTCCCGAGGTCTCTCGTTGGCTCGGGCCTCCCCAGTCCCTCCACGGGCCACGGGATTGTCAAGACGCAGCTTGGGACGAGAAGCTGGTCCTGTAGGCAAGGCTCCAGGATCCATGTCCCGCTCCCCCAGGACCTGTTGCCCTCATGCAACCAGTGGGGGAGGAAGGTTTCAGGTAACTAGGAGGATCAGGAGGATCAGGGTAATTGCAGTGTTTTTGGGCTGGAGGCATGTTCCGGGCCCCGTCAGAATCCATCCTGCATCGAAGAGGCTAACCAGAATGATGTTCGTGAAAGAAGTCCAGGGACCGATTATGACAGGTGTTGGTCAGAGGATCGAGCTTCGATGATCAAGCTCCGCTGTTTGAGGTTCTAGGGCATTTTCGTCGCGACGGCTACATTACTTTCGGGATTCTAGCCAGAACGGGATGTTTCTTGCAGTATTCTGCCGATCGAGGCCGTTTTCGGGCTCCAGTCTAACAATGGCTCTAATAGATGAAACGGTGTTGAGGCCTGCGGGGGTTTGCGCGCTGAGACAAAATCACGTCGTCGGGTGTCGGGGGGGATATGAGGGGACGCCGCCCCCTCTTCCCACCCACGCCCTCGTCTCCATCTCTCCCTCTCTCTCTCTATCCCTCCCTCCGCCTCCTCTGACTTCTATCCCCCCCCTTTCCTTCCCCCCCCATCCACGTCCACCACTTCCTCATCCCCCTCCTCATCCCGCTCATGAGCTCAACCGCCAACCGTTTCTTCATATCCTCCCTCTTCCTGGTCTCCTTCGTCCCTCCTTCCGTTCTCCTCCCTTCCCTCCTACTCGTCATCCTTTCTCCTTCCCTTCTCTCCTCCCCCTGTATTACGTATTATCCTCCTTTTCCTCCCCCTTGTCTCCTTCGTCGTCCAGTCTCCTCCCCCCGTCTCCTCCTCCTGTTCCCCCTTCCCCCTTCCTCCTCCCCTCATGTTCCCCCCCCCCCCTCCCTTTCTTTCCGCCCCCGCCCCCGGCCCCCCCTGAACCAGCCAGGAGCATATTTCCCTACAGCCAGCAGCTGGAGGAGCGCACACCCCCTCGCGATCCCTACGGTCACGGCCCTCGTCGCCGTCCGTGCCGTCGCCTCCGTCGTCGTCCCCCCTCCCTGTCCCCCAGGAGGCTCAGAAAGTCTGCGGCCTCCATCCGCCTTCTGGAGAAGGCCTGCCCTTGTGGACGACGATCATCGGAGAGGAAGCATGTTGCCAAATAATCCCCAGATGTCAAACAAATGTCTAAAACATGTTTTAAACATGAAAAACATGCTTCAAACAGTTTAAGAACATTTCCGAACAGGTGAAGCACGATTTACATTTAATGATACGATTGTTAGGGTGTCCAGTGTCATGGCATCCACAAGCCTGTCCCCATCTCACGTCCTCCCTCGGCGCGCCGCCGATGTGCGAAGGTGTTCGGATGCCTTCTGTGGTTTTCTGGCGCGTGTGGCGGCCTCTGGAGGCTGCTTGCCACATGCCCCTCGGAGGCTTCATGATGAGGGAAAAGAGTGTAATTCTGGGCGGCATGCGCGATGCTCTAAAACTTGCAGAGCTAACTATGTGTTGCGAGTGGGCCGCGATGCGTGGCGCTCGATGGCGCAGTCTTGCTGTGACTCTCGACCTGTCGCTGCGAAGGCGAAGCTGGCGCTGCAGAGCCATCGGCTCCCCGGCTGCACGTGGAGAGGCGAACTGCTCACGAGCACGCCCGAGGGCGAACAGAGTTGGCAGGTGGGCACGAGAGCTGTGAACTTTGAGGTCGCTGGAACTGTCTCCTGGAAGCTGTGAAATTTGGGGAGCTGTGAAATTTGAGGGCGCTGTGAAGTTCGCAGGTGGCCCCTGGAGATTACGGTCGGGAACTGTTTGTTAGCGTGTCGCTCGGAGCGGCACGCTAGCCAACAGTTCCCGACCGCGTCGAGGCCGCGCCGAGGTGTGGAAGGGCCAGAACCAGCGGACCGCTGGTCCTGGCCCACCACGCCTCGGCGCGACATGGAATCCACGTCCCGGCCCCCAGGCGTCAAAAGTCCCGAACCTTTTCCCAGCCTCTCGCATGGAAGAGCGGAGCGACACGCTATCCAGTTGCGAGGCATAGCGTGTCGCCGAGGCCGCCGTCGCGACGCGCTAAGCAGCAGTCTCTGACCGCATTTAGGCTCCTGCGCTGGCCAGGTTGGCTGAGGGCCCAAGGCGGGCAGGCGCGCTCGGGACCAATCATCCGCGGACGGCTTCTGTGCGAGAGAGAGAGAGAGACACACACACATATGAAAAGAGAGAGAGAGAGAGCGAGAGAGCGAGAAAGAGGGGGGGAGAGAGAGAGAAGAGAGAGAGAGAGAGAGAGAGAAAGAGGAGAGAAAAGGGAGACGAGCGACAGAGAGAGAGAGAGAGAGAGACACTGAGACAGAGAGACAGAGCCAGAAACAGAGACATAGATAGAAAGAGAGAGCGAGAGCGAGAGAAAGAACTACACAAACAACGCAGATGCAGAGGTGGAAAAGAACAGACGGGCGCGCGAGTACAGCAGAGCGACCATCAATCGGGCAGAGCAGGCCACACCGAGCGGCGGGATGGGGCTGGAGGCGGCGATGGAGGCAGAGCGGCGAGATGAGGCTGGGAGGAGCCCCAAAGCTATGGAGTTGGAGACCTGGGACGCGCACGTGCGCGCGCAGGAGCATGCATCCGATGTCGACGGAAGGGGCGACGGGCGGGGGGGGGCGTGCGTCTTTCTTTGAAAGGCTTCCCTGGAGCCCCCCAGAACTGGCCGAGAGAAGTGCTCTCTTCTCCGATGCGCCGACCACGGCATCCCCAACCTGGTCGACCACGGCATCTCCAGTATGGTAGACCCTGAGCGTCGACCACGGCATGCTCTAAGCGTCGACCACCGCATACGGAAGCGTCGACCACGGCGGCCCCCGGAAGTGGCAGAGATTCGTGCTGTTTTCCCTTAAGCGTCGACCGCAGCATCCCCAACATATGAGACGACCGATGACTCTCGAAGCACAAACATCGGCACAAACATAAGCTGTTGGCGGTCCGCGCGGATTTCTTGGATCTGCGCTGGGACCCCCCTGGCGGCGCCTCTGGCGCCGCCCCTGGCGCGCTCCGCCGCCAGGGGAGGGGGACCCAGCGCAGATCCAAGAAATCCGCGCAGACCGCCAAAAGTTTATGGTTATGCCTTTTTTTGTTTCTCTAGACTCGGTCAACGCGTCTTGCAGTGTGGCACCGCCAGCCCGCTTGTTTCATGCTATCCTCCACATTGGGGAGAGCGTCCACCGCAGAAGCCCTGGCAGGGGGATAGCGTGCGCAGAAGGGACCCTCGCGGGGGGAGAGCCTCACAGGGATAGCATGCTTTTTCGGAGATCAGTGTTACACGCTATCTCTAACGCCAATCGTATGGGTGCGCACACGTGCGTTTTTTCCACTCTTGTGCATGAGGAAGTGCTGACCAAGGAGAGCCAGCAGTCGAAGGACGTCCTCATCTTGGAGGAGCCCGAGCATATCAACTGGTACTACCACGGTGCTCGCTGGCCGAGTCTGTTCAACCACGTGGTGGGCATCGTGCACACGAACTACCTGGAGTACGCGCTCGATACCGAGGGCCAGTTCGCGCAGTGGGTGACGATGTTCTTCAACATCCTGGTGTGCCTGCCGTTTGCTCAGCGTCTCCTCGCGAGCGGGCTCCCCTCGCTGCGAGGTGCATCTGCTCCCTGCGGTGCTGGGGCGGTGGGGTGGGGACGGCATGCTCGCTGAGCGCGGTTCTGCCGGTCCAGACCCTGGCACGCTCCTGGCGCTGGTCGGGCAAAGCCGAGGTCATATGTGGATGTGAACGTGAAGCTGTCCGACGTCCTGATGGAGTTGCCCAACGAGGTGGTGTGCAACTGCCACGGAGTGCGAGAGGCGCGATTGCTGGGTATCGGGCTTGTCTCCTCCCCGGGCCAGGGCTGCCACTTGGGCAGGTAACCTCTGAGGGTCTTTTGTTTTGATCCGTCCCTTTTCACACGGCGGTGAAAAGGAATGTTCCTAAAACTCTCCCCTCCTCCTCCTCCTCCTCCTCCTTTTCCTCCTCGTCCATCGTCTCCCCCTTCTCCCAGTAGTCTTAGTTGTAGTAGTCGCAATCGTAGTCGTAGTCGCAGCTGTCGTCGCCGTCGCAATCCTACCCGTAGCGATGATTAATCGCAGTCGCAGTCGCAATCGTAGTCGTAGTTGTCGTATTCGTTGTTCCGCGGAACAAATCATTAGTTACCCCCTACTGTTGGGACCGCAGTCTGTGAGAAGGCCGCCGAACATATACTTCTTTACCCCCTATTGGGGGGCAAGACCCTTCGAGGTGATCGCTGCTATCCGTGAAGCGCACGGCATGGCGCCAGGGCTTTCCCGCTCCCGTCGTGTTTCGATCTCACGATGCGAGCAGGTCCGGGTCAGCAAGGACATCGGCAGGGCCCCGGTCTCGGGCGGGTGGTAGTCGGGGGTTGCCTAACTGGGGGGGTGAAGAGAAGGGCCCCGAAGGGGCCCTCTGCTCAGGACGCCCGACATGGGTACCGAAGGGATGGGTACAATGCCCAACAGCAGTCCCTGTTCATTTTGAGCAAGACTCGCTGTCCGCGCCGCCGCGGCCTGTGTCCATTTGAGACAGAAGGCCGCTTGCCCAAAAGCGGCCGCTGTTGGTTTGAGACGACATGTGTGGTTTGGCATTGTACCCGTTCTTTCCGTACCCATTTCGGGCGTCCAAATCTTATTCACCCCGTTTATGTCACCCCCCCAATACCACCCGCCCGACGGGCCCGGGGTCGAGATCTCCAGGGGTCCTCGCCGCCAGGTCACGGGGTCAGAGGTCGGGGCCCTCGGAGCGCCGCGCGCGTGGTCCTGGCTGCACGTGCGAGTCCAGCGGTCCTGCGTGGGCGGACGCCTCTTGGCCGGACCTCCGCGCTCCTCTTGGCCGGACGCCATGGGGAAAGCGAGTCCAGAGGAAATTGGTCCTGAGGTGTTTCGCCGTTTGTGGTTTCCTGGGGCCCTCCACGGGCTCCAGGATTGTGAGAGAACGGCTGCGGGTGACGATGAGGTCTTGGGGGACGGGTTGAGGACCCGTTTCCAACAGGACCCGCTTGCCCCATACTAAGGGAGTTCTGGCCCATGATGCCATCGTCGGTGCGATTGTAAAGGGTACGGAAAGAATGGGCACACAGACCGACAGTTGTCCCTGTCCATTTTGAACCGGTTCGCTGTCGGCGTTGCCGCGGGCGTTGTCCATTTTCGGCGGTGGACAGAACCCCCAACAGTGACACGTCGATTAGTGAATTGTCCGTTTTCGGTTCTCGAGAGGGCGCCGCGGCCGTTATTTTCCAGGCTCGCGCCCGCCAGATTTGGGCCTCAGGTCGTTTTCACTAAACCACGTTTTACTAAAGGGGGGTCTGTCCATCCCCGACATTTGAGACAAAGGGCCACCTGCCCTACAGCGGCCACTGACGGTTTGCAGCAAAGTCTGCCGCTTGGTGTTTGACCCATTTTTCCTGCACCCATTTCGGGTGTGTCAATTTCAGGGTCGGGAGCAAGACGATGATACCCAGACCCCTCAGGCCATGAAAAAGTCCTGGGGACCCCTGTCAGGCCCCAGGAGCGTCGAACAGCGACTCGGGATGGAAAGCTGTTCCCAGGGAAATGGGTCGAGAGTTTTGGGAGTCGACGGAGTGAAAACCACTTTTCTGTCGGCGGCTGGGCAGGGGTCGTCTGCGCTGGCGGATGAAGCTAACTAAACAGGGGCACCGTTGTAGGAATGAAAAACACCTGGCGTGGGAGGTCTGGGCTCGATGTTTGCACACGTTACTGCGCACAGCATCGTGGGCCTTCTCCGGGGCAGGCTCGCGACCGTGAGACGCGAAGCCAAATGTGGATAGCATGATTGGGGCGAAGGCCCGCGTACCCTGGTTTGTGCATATAGTACACATAGATTCCCCACACAGTGCTTGCAGCACTGTCTGGTCAACCATCTTGGGACCCTGGCCGCAGAATCGCCGCCCGTGCCGCCCGTCGCCGCCGCCCGTCGCCGTCGCCGCCCGTCGCCGCCATGCCCGCCCGTCGCCGCCCGTCGCCGCCCGTCACAGTCGCCGCATCGCATACATTGCACCACGCGTAGATTACACCGCATAAACTACCCCCCCCGGAGTTATCGCCCCCCCTTTCGGGTATGTAAATCATTTATGATTCTGACCACACGTCCATCCTAAATATGAAATCACAATGTCCCAGGCCAACCGGGTTCCCCCCCCGCTGAGGTCCCCTTGAAAAATCACTATGCGGTGACATTTTTTGCTCGAACATAGCACTTTTTCGCGAATCCCTTGCAAAAAGTAGGACGAAGTGCACACGCGCGCGTCGTCGCGCGCGCATGCCGAAATCCTTCAAAAACCTATGGTGCTGGAAGGATTTCGCAATCGAGTGTCCAAAACACATACAAAACACATGGTTTCGTAACACTGTTTTGCAACAAAAAGCTTACGCGCGAGCTCTTGCGAAATCTCAAGGCGACCATTGGTTGTTCAAGATTTTCACAACATGCTACCAAACGGGCGTCGCGCCCGCGCATGTCGAAATCTGTCGAACGCACTTGCGCGTGTGCCGTCGCGAGAATCCTTTGCAAAAATGGGACGAAGTGCAGACGCGCGCGTCGTCGCGCGCGTACGCCGAAATCCTTCAAAACCCATCGGTTTCGGAAGGATTTGAAAATCGCGCGTCCAAAAAACCTACAAAAACACAAGGTTTCGCAACATGGATTTTCAACAAAAGCGTGCGCGCGCTCTTGCGGCGTCGTCGTCGTCGTCGCCGTCCTCCCTCCTCCCGCGTCGTCGTCGTCGTCGTCGCCTACGTCGTCCTGTGTCTCTCCTCGTGTTCGTCGTCGTCGTCCTCTTTGGCGTCGTGGTCGGTTCCGTCGTCGTTGTCGCCGTGGTCGTCCTTCCTCCTCCTCCCTCGTCGTCGTTGTCGTCGTCGTCGTCGTCCGTCGTCGGCGTCTCGTCGTCGTCCCTCCTATTTCGTCGCCGTCGTCGTCGTCGTTGTCGTCGTCGTCGTCTCGTCGTCGTCTTCCCTCCTCCCTCGTCGTCGTCGTCGTCGGCGTCGCCGTCCTTCCTCCTTCTTCGTCGTTCGCGTCGTCGCCGTCCTCCCTCCTGCCTCGTTGTCGTCGTTGGCGTCGTTGTCGTCGTCGTCGTCGTCGTTGTCGCCGACGTCGTCCTCCTCCCTCGTCGTCGTCTTCGTTGGCGGCGTCGTCGTCGTCTTCGTCGTCGGCGTCGGCGTCGGTGTCGTCGTCTTCGTCGTCGTCGACGTCGGCGTCGTCGTCGTCGCCGCCGTCGTCGTCGTCGTCGTCGTCGTCGGCCGTCTTGCTTCTCTGGCCTTCTTGGGGCGCTCTTGAGACGCCCCCGAGGGTTCCAAGACGACCCTGGAGCCATATCTGTGCTCGGTCCCGCATGGGTTTTGCTAACCAAGTTGCGGGTGGGTGGGTGGGATGATTGCGCGAGCAGTGGAGTTGACCACTTCAAGTTCGGCAAGTGATTTGTTGCACCACATAGACTGCGCCGCCTAGATTGAATTCATTACATTGGTTTCATTGCATGCATTCTCCTTTACCCCCCCCGGATGATCCATTCACCTGTTCGTATTGCATTTTCTGTTACGATGCTGCCCCATCGCCCATCCTAACAATGAATTCGTACCATCCCATCCGAGTCGGTATCCGCCCCCCCTCCGCCATCCTCTGCAACAGAACCATGCGCGCAGATTCGTTTATCAAAAATCAGCCGTTTTCGAGAATCCTTTACACAAGAATTTGACGAGGTGCACACGCGCGCGTTGTCGCGCGCGCTTGCCGAAATCCTTCAAAAGCCTTCGGTGTCGCACGGGTTTCAAAATCGAGTGTCAAACAACGTATAACAGTGTTTCGCATCACGCATCTTCAAGACAAAATGTGCGGCGGCGCGCTTTTGCGAACCCTAAAGAAAAACATCGGTTATGCATCATGTTCAGAAGTTGCTACCAAACGGGCTTCGCGCGCGCATATCGAAATCGTTCGAGCGCCCTTGCGCGCGTGCCGTCGCTGGAACCCTTTGCAAACAACTGGGCGAAGTGCACACGCGCGCGTCGTCGCGCGCGCATGCCGAAATCTTTCAAAAACCTACGGTTTCCTGGCAGTTCAAAGCCGAGTGTCCAACATACATATAAAACGCACGGTTTCGCAACATCAGGCTTCAAAAAACGTGCGATCGCGCTCTTGCGAAATCTTATGGAAACCATGTGTTGTCTTTGTTTTTTACCCCAAATCAAAAAACATGTTCATGGACTTCTACCCGGCGGGCCTCTGGCGCCACATGCCGAAAACATTGGCACGCCTTTACGCGCGTGCAGGGGGGGCACGACCCGTGTCAAATAATACCAGGTCGGCCGCTCGCTCCTCGGCCGCGCGCGCATGTCCATTTTTGTTTAACCTTCATGACCGACGCGGGGACGCCGTCATCGTCGACGGCGGGCGTGATCAGCATCGGCGCCTGCACTGGCCGCGCCGACGTCGTTGTCAACATACCCACCAGCATCGCTACTATCATCATCGTGTCTACCGTTGTCGACGTTGCCATGATACCGCGCCCGCCCACGTCGCCGACTCGCATTGAAGTGCCCGCTGGGATCTGTCGAGCGGTCAGCGCCACCGCGGCCGCGTCGGTCGCGCTAAATTAGCTTGCCGCTGCGCGCGCGTGCTTGGGTTGGCGCGGCCGCGGGGATGGACCAGCGAACGCCAAGCACTCATCGCAATCGCCACCGCATGTGCTCTGCAAACCAAGGTGCGGGTGGGTGGGTGGGATGTAAGTTCGTTTGTGAAAGTTAGATGCACTACAGACGTTGTACCGCACAGACGGCATCACGTAGGTTGCGTCGCACGCAGTGCGCCACACATATTGCACCGCGTATGTCGCATCATTTAGGTTGCATCGCATACATTACACCACATAGATAGCACCGCGCAGGTTGCAATAACGAATGCTTTGGGGGGCCCACGCCGGCTAACATACGGTATCCATATCCGTATACATACATCTATATATATATATATAGATAAGGGAAAGAAAGAGAGAGAGAGAGGGAAATATGTCGCCGCGCCGTTCCGATGCGCGGCCTTCCGTCTTGGGGAGGGCGCCGCAGCCACCAGGCCAAACGCCGCCTCGGACGGGGTGGGTTCGCCGTGGGTTTGCCATGGTGTTGACTTCATCTACCTGGTGCGCGGGACGCAGGGTTTGCCGGCTTGCCGTGGGCTTGCCGCTGGGTCGACGCCATCTTGTTGGGCGCGTCGAACATACATGGCGCGGCGACACATGTTGTGTGTATGTGTGTGTTTGCATGCGTGGGCGGCTCCCATACTTTCACTCAGGGTGAAGCCCCTGTCGCGACGACGAGCCCGCCACCCCTCACTGGGGGCCCAAATAATACGGAGAAGGTCCAAATCTTTCTCCTTGGGGCGCGCTTCGGAGGCCTTGGGGGCATTCTACGACTCTCTGGAAGTCCCCTGGGATGTGCCGTGGACGCCCCGAGCGGCCCTGGGGTGGAGGTGCTGGAAGCGCACGGGGCACCGCTCATCTCCCACGCTCTGGGCCTCCCCCGCTCCACGAGGCTTTCCTGGAGATCGGGGACGGGTGCGCGGGAGGAGGAGGAGGAGGAGACGCTCCCACTGCTGGCGGCTGCTACTTCTTGGGCAAGGCGCTGTGGACGAAGGGCTACAGGAGCTCACCGGTTGACGCCTTCCACCCTCCGCTTCCATCCCCTCATCATTATCCCCTTCTCTTCATCTTCCACCTCCTCTCCACTTCCTTCCTCCTCCTCCTCCTCTTCCTCCTCTTTTTTCGTGCTTCCAATCCTCGCCAATCTTCCCCCATTCTTCCGTATTCTCCGCCTCCTCCCGCCGCTGGATTTGCGGCTTCGCGGCCGCCCACAGAAGCAGTTCAGACTATATTTGTTTCTGGAGACCCACAATGTAGGCGAGTATGCAGGCCGATCCGTCAGTTGCAGGTGTGGTAGAGGCGGCGTTGAGTGATGTTTTGGGCGGAGCTTTTGGGATCAGCTCGTCGTGTATTCTAGACGCTCCGCGTACCCCTACCAGGCTAGCTAGACAGCCCACACTGGAAACGTGGACCCTATTCCGAACATCTCACCCCCCTTGGCAGCAGGGGACCAGCCCGCCGGGCTGACCGGTCCCTGGACCACCTACTTTGCTGTCCCACGGCGACAGCCACTCTCCCTCTGGTGACAAGGGGGCGTCGGCAGAAGCACCCCCCCCAGCGCACCACCCACGTTTGCTGTCCAGCCGCGACAGCCACCCACCTTTCGGTGGCAGGGGGAAGTCGGCAGAAGCAGTCCCCCCTGCGCGCCGCCCGGCTTTATGTCTCAGGCCCCAGTTTTGGCAGCTTCCGCTCCGGCGGTGAATAACTGCGACACCGCAGGACCCCCCAAGAGGCGCATCCCGCTGCTGGCCCATTCCAGCTGGGATCTCAGCGGTGAGTTGCGGCGACCCCCACGATGTAAACGGTTCCTGGCGGCGGTCAGCTGCACCCCCCATTCCTCCACGCAGGTGCTCTCGGCGAGTGGCAGCTACCCCTGGGCACACCAGTGACTGGCCACGGCCCCCAGTTTCGGCTGCAGGCTCTGGCCGTGGGGCGTGACGTTGCGTCCCTCGCCTCTCCCCTCTGGCACGGTGGGTGTCCCCCACCCGTGCCCTCGGGGCTCGCCCGTTGCGGCCATCGCTGGGCGGGGCTCTCCCCTCCCTACTCGTCCCGTGGGTCGCGCTGCTCCTGGTCTTCCTTGACCATCCCGGCGTCAGTTTCCACAGCGTGGGGAGACATTTGGTGTGGAACCACGCTTGAGCTCATGGGCAGCGCCACGTGTCAGTCTGGGGTGGCTGGCCACCTCAGCCTCACTTCAGCAGGACCCCCCCAGCAGGCAGCGCAGACGTCTCCACCACCATTGTGCCGTCCCCACCACATGACGGCGGGCTGCATGCTTCGGGCATCTTCGCTTCAGGACCTGGCGGCACAGTTGCGTCGTGGGCCGCCGCTGGCTCCCATGAGCAAGTGAGTTGGGCTTCTGAGGGCCAGGCGCTGAGTGGTTCAGCCTACAACGCATGTACAGCCTTTGGTTTTCCCCCGCGCTCTGTTTCGGTCGCCAGCGGCCCTCCCCGCTCAGGTGACGGCACAAGGTGTGCCTTGGGCTGCCGCTGGCTCCCCCTGGCTGGGTGGAGGATTTCAGTGGACTGGGCGCTGAGTGGTTCAGCCTGCAGCGCCTGTGCAGCCGTAGGTCTTCCCCCGCGTTCCGGCTCGGGTTCACTGCTCAGCCGTTCGGCTGGAGTCTGGCGCCGTCTCGGCGACTCACTCCGGTGCCTACGCGCATTCTTCTCGTCAGCCCGTTTACTTCGGTTCACGCTGCTGCGCCTATGTGCGTTTGCTTGTGAATTTAGGTCAGTTTGTCCTGTGCGTGTGCAACGGCGAGCTCGGTTTGCAGGTGCGAACTCGCCCGCCGACACTGGCGGCCTTGTTCGCAAATTCGCACCGTTCCGCATCCCGGACGCCGCTTCCGCTCCCTGACCGTCGCCTTGGAGCCGCCGACCAAAAAAATACCCCTACCAGGCCATCCAGAAACGATGCCCGCACGAGTTGCCCTGAACAGGGACGCGGAGGAGCAAACAGTGGAATTAAGGGCTGGGTAAGACGCTATACCCCAAGAGTGGGAGGATGGAGGAGGAGGAGGAGGAGGAGGAGGAGGAGGAGGAGGAGGAGGAGGAGGAGGAGGAGGAGGAGGAGGAGAGGAGGAGGAGGAGGAGGAGGAGGCGGAGGAGGAGGAGGAGGAGGAGGAGAGGAGGAGGACGAGGAGGGGGAGGAGGGGGAGAAGGAGGAGAAGGAGGAGGAGGACGACGAACAGGAGGAGCCGCAGTAGGGAGAGAGGGAGGGGAGGAGGGAGGAGGACGCAGGAGGAATAGGCGGAGGAGGACAAAGGAGGACGAAGGAGGGGGAAAAGGAGGAGGAGGAGAAGGAAAAAAAAAGGAGGAGGAGGAGGAGGAGGAGGAGGAGGAGGAGGAGGAGGAGGAGGAGGAGGGGAAGGAGGACGAGCAGGAAAGCCAGAGGCCTCTTGGATGCTTCTCGGAGTCTTTGCGGATTTCGTTCGATAGCTTCTTGGAGGCGTCTTGGGGTTTTCTTGGCAGTCCCAGGGGGCCTCTTGGGGCGTCCGGAGAGGAGGAGAAGGAGGAAGAGGAGGAGGAGGAGGAGGAGGAACAGGAGGACGAGGAGGGGAGGAGGAGGAGGGAGGAGGAGGAGGAGGAGGAGGAGGAGGAGGAGGAGGGGGGAGGGAGGAGGAGGAGGAGGAGGAGGAGGAGGAGGAGGAGGAGGAGGAGGAGGAAGAGCAGGAGGAGGAGGAAGAGGAAGAGGAGGAGGAATAGGAGGAGGAGGAAGAGGAAGAGGAGCAGGAGGAGGAGGAGGAGGAGGAGGAGGAGGAGGAGGAGGAGGAGGAGGAGGAGGAGGAGGAGGCGGAGGAGGAGGAGGAGGAGGAGGAGGGGGAGGAGGGGGGGAGGAAGGAGGAGGAGGAGGAGGAGGAGTGGGAGGAGGAGGAGGAGGAGGAGGAAGAGGAGGAGGAGGAGGAGGAGGCGCAAGAGAAGGAGGAGGAGGAGGAGGAAGAGAAGAGGAGGAAGAGGAGCAGGAGGAGGAGGAGGAGGAGGAGGGGGAGGAGGAGGAGGAGGAGGGGGAGGGGGAGGGCGAGGTCGAGGGGGAGGACGAGGAGGAGGACGAGGAGGAGGGGAGCCGTAGCCATGTTGGCTCAAATTCAAACCATCGCCTCGTGGCTTGAGTTTGTTCGCGGCCGAGTGGCCGGCTCGAACGATTCGAGGAGATCCCCGACCCACACCTCAGCCGTCAAGGCGTGGTGTGCCGCGCGCGTTGCTGCGGGAGTTCTCTACCAGGTAGTAGCGAGCAGTGAGTGCAAATGGATCGCTACCGATGTCCGATGCAGGACGTTTCTCTCTGGCCGCGCAGCTAGAGGCAGCCCCCACTTCCCCGTCGCGAGAAGATCCTCGCAAGCGGCATCGTTCTGGTGCTGCTGCTGCTGAAGACGAAGGATATGCTGCTGCAGACGGCGGAGAGCAGATTCATTTCAAAGCATACATCGACGCCACGAAGATGACCCTCATGACTTCCATCAGTGCTGTCTAGACCCATGTCTAAGCGAGTGTGGCAAGCTCCGTCGGCTCCCTGGCGAACACCGTGCAAAAGTCGTGCGGGAACTTGGCCCAGCAGGTGGAGAGGATAATGACATCAGTCGAATTCAATGTCTCTGACTACAAGTCCAAGTCCGACCAGCGCTTGGACACCATGGGAAGCATATCTCATAGTTGCAGCGACTCGCCAGAATCCTTCGCTCCGAAGAACCCCCTCCTCCTCCAGTTGAAGACCGCTCCATCTTCGATTGGAACCCCGATTGGGCGATCCTGTTGGCCCGTGCTCGAGCTCCCGTTCCCAAGGATAATTTCAAGTCCGCCATGCAGGACACCTTCGTTCGGAATAACCTCACGATGGCCGAGTGTTCCTTCGAGGGCAACGCACTGTCGACGAGGATGCAGATTCGGATTCAGGGCAACACCAATTACGCGTCCAAGAAGGTTCGGCAGGTGTTGGGGTCCATGCGAGGCCCAGACAACGCGAGGGAGAAGCTCCAGATACACGACGCCGCTGGTGAGTTGCAAGACCTCTTTCTGGATTCCGGCAAGAATCTGTGCCAAATCAAGCGTGAGCAGTTGGTTAAACAAGTTCGTCGTGCGCTCCAGGACGTCTACCAGGACAAACGTTTCTTTGTCGACCGCGCCAAGGGCGTGACCTCTGTGGGGTGGAAACCTATCGTTTGTATCATGCTGAACCCGAATGACGCCCCGCCGGCCGTCAAGTGGAGCGCCGCCAACATCATCTCGGAAGGGGGTCGACAAAAACAAGATCACCGACGCCATTGCCAGCATTTTGTCGGGACCTGAGCCAGCAAAGTGGTCATAACATCATTTTTGCGGCTTGGCGCCGCGCCCGTCCCTCCCATGGTCATCTCCCCTGTGGGTCCTGGAATGTTCGCGCTCTCTTCCATCGCGAACACTCTCTCCGTGACCGCAAACTTCAATGCCTGAAGAAGATGGTTGGTGAAGGGACGCCGCTGGGGATTCGAGAGTCTGATGGGACACCAGCCCAGATATATAATATGATAGAACGTCTCCATATTCCTGTCCGCGCCTTTTTTTCTGTTCTCCCTCATCATCCACACCCATCTGGCGGAGTCATCACACTTGCGCCTGATTTTACGATGGAAGGGAATGGTTCCCAGCCGCTGGCCGCGTCTGTGGAACCCGTCCAGGGGGGAGCTCGCGATGTTCGGATCGAATTTAGCAATGGAGCCAGGACCTACCACTATATCATTCACAAGTTTAGACCATCTTCGGGAGAACGGGACTCGATCTCAGTATCTTCCTGGACACCAGTGCCGCACTGGAGGGTTCAGAGAGAACCTTCGCCATCATTGGGGGCCACTTCAACATTTCCTCGGCGCCCCCGATCGCTGCGGAGAAGGGCGCCCCTCCATCGCCCTCGCCCAAAATCAAGATTGGAGACGCTCGCAGCGTCGGTTTTGGAATTAGATCGTTGGGAAGATGGCAGAAATCGAATTGCGCGAGCCAGGGATACGTTGCGCAGCATTGACAGGCTCTGTGTCCTTGCTCCAGGCTGGCGTCTGACTCGATCCTGAGCAGGGGGGCGGTCGCGCGGCCAGCCAGAGACGCCTTGCGACGCGCGCATCTCAGATCACGCGGGCATTGATTTTACTTGGACGCCCAGAGCAGACGCGAAGCCTGACCGGCGCGCGATCCCGGACGAGATTTTCCAGAGGCCTGAGTACCAGTCCAAACTGAGCGAGATGCCGCAGCAATTGGACCAGTCCTTCCTTCCCCCCCCCCCCGACTCGACCTCCACGAGACGGCGGCGCGAGAAGCAGCGAGGCTGGCCCGCGATGCGATCATTCGCCATGAACCTCACGACCTCTCACGAGACTGATTATCCCCATGCCGATTTCGAGAGCGATCCGGCAGCAGAATCGCCCGATTGCGCGCGGAGTTGCGCACGCACGCCCGCTGGGCGCGAAGTTTATCCAGAGCAGCAGTGACGGGGATCGAGCGGAGCTTCTGGATTAGCCCCCCTTCCAGCTCGCCACCGAGCAGGAGCGCTGCCGACTGTTCGAGTCTGCGAAAGACATTGCCAGCCGCCGCCCCCAGAAATCTGAGCAAGGCCCGACCGAGGCCATGCTTCTCCAACGGATTCGGGGTCTTCAAGAAAGAGGGCGCTCAGGGGGCCCCTTCGACCGAAAGCTGCGCCTCCAAGGGGTCCGTCCGACGCCCGACCCTGAAAGCAACTCCCAGGCCGTTATCTCACCACCAGAAGCATTGGAGCAGCTGGCGACGCACTGGGGCCCAGCTTTTGAGGCCAGGGCGACTGATGCAGCTGCTGCCCGCCACAACTTGGGACGCTTCGGCTTCGGGGCCGAACTGCGCGATCTACCTCCTCCCGCGGTGCGCGATCTCCAGAGTTGTCCCCGGAGGATTGGCCCCAGCGCCCCAGGGCCAGATATGCTGCCTGCGACGCCTGGCGCCTGGTAGATCACCCCGAAGGCGCAGAAGCTTCATCGGAAATGCGTTCCTGGATGTTGGGGGGAGGGGGGGGGGGGGGGGGGCAGTGTACGTCGAGGAGCCT